ACAACACGACAACGTCGGCAGGGTGGTCGCTTTAAAATGCGCGAGGAATGCGCGCGTAAAGGCAGGGAGCGACTACGTCGAGACTACGACGAAGGTCACGGAAGCGGCGATAATGAAAGGAGTTAATCACTCCGACCAGACAGTACTAGTGACAATGTGCCGCGCACGGAGCAAGCACTTTGTATTTAGGGACATGAGCTATTCGCGGATGCGCAGTTACCTGTGTGCAAATGCACTCACTCCCTTGAAATTCCGCGGGTCCGCGAGAGAAGAACGTCTCCAACTGCAAAAATGCAACGCACGTAACGCGCATCTTCGGGATGTTTTATTGGGGGATATATATATTCCTTTCTGCGTGTTTTCGGCCTCGCTGTATGATTTTTCGGCAAATATTTCACGTTTAAGAATATTTACAAACTAGAAGAGTATATTGTAGACGGCAGAATGAATTGTCATTGAAAATGCAGAGAGCACATAATGGCATTAAACGGGGCAATGCATCAAGCAAGGCGCGTCTCATAAATAATAAAAAAAAAAAAGGAAAGAAAAAACGGAGGAGAGATTTTTTCCTTCCTCTCCATATAATTCGTCGTAAACGTTAGGACAGATCACGAGAGAGAAAGGAAGGAAGTATCGCTAGCTGTAGCATCCCTCGAGGACCTTCGCAACGTTGAACCAAAGGAATAACTTATGCCTCCGCCTCTTCGTGGTGTCGAAAGAAAAATGCGTTTGCACCAAGCTAGCGATCGGAGGGAACAAAATGGATGATGGAGATACAATTCTAGGGTTGTCGACGGAATCTTAAATCACGATTCTCTTATAATGAATTGTACGGAGCGAAACTCACGCAGTTGCTTAAAAACATCGTAAAATTTCATTTTTCTTCCCGCACAAAAACGACTACTCCAATTATCCAAGAAGCCTCGATATTAACTGACAGATAATTGCTTAAGTAAACTTTAAAAGGCTGTCTCCGATATATATCGCAAATCTAACTTTGTTATCTCATAAATGATCGTATTATTTAATTTGATAAAATTAAACAGATAATGTATATATAACATATATCTATAGCTTTATGTTATATTCGTCTTGACAGAATTAATTTCACACCTTTTTATCTCGAAAATGTGCATGATATTTTTGTCGAATATTTGCAACTTTTTCTTTAAATTATGCACGATAAGAGAATCAGACGTATTTCAATGTCGATGAAATCAACTCTGTCGGAAATAATCCGATACGCATTTGCGGGATCTAACTTTTTCCGTGTCAGTTCGGGGCGGGTTTCTCGCTCTATCGCCATCTCACCCTCGCGGAATCGCAAACCCCTCGGCGGCGTCGCCGGAGAATCTAATGAATTTGAGCCGTCAATAATAACGTGCGGCACATTGGTGGGGGAAATTTACCCCAGACGCACACATGCGCGCGTACACAACACGCACACAATCGAAGAAGGTGGAGAGAATGTATGGTGGGCCTGCTGGTTCTCTCGTCCACGTGCATACACGCGCGCGGACAAAAGAGCCCGATCGATGTGCATGAGAGGCGACGGATGCAGTCACTGTGAAATTAACGAATTTTTCACGATTGGACACATTAACCATCGCCGGCCGGGTCAGCAAAAGTGCTCCCGATGCTTTATGACAACAATGCGAGCGATACTCCGCGAAAGGATGAGAGCGTGACGATAAACTGGATTTACTGTCGCCTAGTGGTGGGGGATGAATTTATGGCGAACACGAGACTTTTCCTCCGCGAAAAACCAAATTTTTCTACGGATCTTACAACGGAGCAAAAAATAATCGTGTCAGAGAAAAATATAATTTCGCTATACTAATTTCCGCATCGTAATTTATATGAGAAACGTTGTTGGCCCGATATCATTTTCGCGTGCAGTACGAAATACGAGTGCGAGTAGTTTAACAGTTTACACGGTCCTCCTTTACTTATTTTTGCACCACACGGTTTCTTTGATTAAAAATGTCTCGACGATTTATACTACTGTTTCCAAGCGTTCTTCAAGCGCGAATTTAGAGCGCGATATGCGTTGCATCGCGGTGATAATTACGAATTCCGGGCACCGTAAAGTTGTTCTTCGATTATTATTCGACGACATACACAGTTGGGCGCGCGATTCTTTCGCAGAGCGATCCAATTAACTTTCGAAGTTGCATATATATATATATATATATATATATCCCGTCCTCCTCCCGGTCGAAATTAACATCCGGTTGCGTTCCGAAGTCGAGACTCTCGAAAAAAATCCGCGCCTCCTCCGTTAAATTCCCATCTCTTGCCGCGCACCTACGACCGTTGCACGGGGGCTAATAGGATTCGCGAAATTAATTACCCGCATTTACATAAGCCCCCGTAAACGTTTTTCTTTTCTTCCCGAGCCTCCGGTCCTCGCTTACCTTCGCCACCGGCCGGTATGCAGAGGCGGACGAATAATTCTCGTAGAGAAATTCGTGATTACGTTAACGATATCTATGCGTCCTCCCTCGTATTTTCTCACCCTCGCGCGCGGATCTCCTCCCATTTCATTCCGGCTGCAGCGAGCCGCGTTACGCCTTTGCGTTTTAGGTCGTCACGACGTTGTCCCTCGTCGTCGCGTCGTGCCGCGTCGTCGGCAACAGCAGCCGCGACGCGGGTAACGAGATTTGTCGTCCAAGATAATTAGATTATCCGCACTCCGGACGGCGTAGCAGTCGGCGTCAGTATGGGACGAAAAGGTAAAACGCGCGTTCTCTATCTACGCCGCAGAGGCGACAACATCGTCCAGGTAAACGTCTGTTTGCTATTTTTTTTTTCTTTTTTTTTTTTTGAAAAAGAACGCGAAAGGGAGGAAAAAATATGCTTCCGCCGCGATGACACATCGCATCTGACTGTCATGAGACGATCGCCGGCGTTCGTCTCCACCTCGGAACCGGTATTTTAAATTCGAATAAGATTAAGAGTAAGATCGAGATAGATTGGATTAAAGTCAAATCTTATCATTTAGATTACTTAGATTGCAGTGACATTTTTCTTTTGAATTAGACAAAGAAGACAAGACTTTTGTTTTATATCTTATAATTTTTAATATTAGATCATTTATATCTGTTTTTTAAACCAATAATTTAAATTTTAAAATTGTAAAGAAAATTATTAAAAATTGATAAGAAATCATACTTTATGTTTTCTCAAAAATCGACGAAATATTTTATATTTGTTTACGAATTAATAATAATGCTTGAAATACTTCTATAAACACATTGTAATAAAGTTACATTTTAGAGCACGCTAACATGTGTGGGTAGTGTGTAAACGGGAGATTAATTTAATCAAGATCTTTTAATTTCCTCACTCAATGTCAAATAAAAAATCTGTGTGTGTGTGTGTGTGTTGTTACAAGAAATTAAACTTTAAAATAAAATTTAAAAAGTTGAAAAATCATATAACTTTATTTTCTTTTTATATATTTTTTAATTTAATTATGAATTAAATTTATAAATTAAAGAAAGTCATATTAAAACATCGAAAAATTCACATCCTTATAAATTTCTTTCAATTTATTAGAAATTTTACTTTTTTATGAAATATTAAGCTTGAGATACCTCTCTATAAGTGCAACAGTATTGTAATAAAATTGCATCGTCGTATAAACGAGCAATGACGTATAAACGAGTGTTCTACATAGAGTCGCACTTACAGTTTTTGGTAATACAATTGCGTATGCACGTCGTCTCGGTGCCGTAAAAGCGGATAGGACTGAGGAGGCGCGAAGTAATTACTTGCAATCTATTCTCCGTGTTCGCATCGTTTGTGCGCGAGGTAAATATATAGGTATATTACATCCGGTATAAACGAGAAAGGCCACCTTATCAACCGACGTGGTACATGTCCAATCAATTTTCAACGCGACGGCACACACGCCGCTTTTGTATTAATATCTATTATTCGGTATCTCGGGCCGGAGGCTACATTCTACCCTCACGCATCGCACACGCGTGATCTCCCCGTGACAATGGGATGCCACAGAATTCCCAGCGTGTTCCCGACCCCAGTTTTTTCCAGATCAAAAAGCGCTGAACTCTCGCAACTTCTGATGTCTGATGACGAGTCGGATCTCTCGTGAGGCGCTTTGACGGTGTAATGCGTTCGCCGTGGTTTTTTTTTTCAGATTTAATCTACTCGAACGAGACGTCCGGGTTACGAAAAACGCGCGAATAAAAGGTTCAAAGTTACAAAAACAGACAATCTTTAGTTGCGACATGATTGCATATCATTGGATGATATTTTATCTCATGACTGTATCATATAATTTTACTGAAATATGTGCGCGCATGACATTGCAATTATATAACTTAAATTTAAATCTATATAAATAAATAAATAACTATAAAAATATATGTATTATATATATATATATATATATATATATATATTTTTTTTTTTCTTTTCGTTAAAATTAATCAAATATAATTACGCGCGCAAAGCAAAGTTATATTATTCTTTGATAATAAAATATTAAAAATTGCAATTCTATTTTGTGCAAAAAAAGTTTAATATGCACTCACACACATAAACACGCACACACACACACACACACACACGCGCGCGCGTTAAACGATTGTACCAAATTTTGAAGGGGTTAAAATGTTAAATTAGAAGAAACTAAAATGATCAATCTATTAAAATTATTTAAAAATGCTATTTTCTTTATTATGTTGAATAATTTATATCAATTCTTATCAAAATAATTATCAACAATATTTTAAAACAAATACAAAAATATATCTGGTTAAATATTTTAAATTTTGTCAATACAATACTTTTATAATATTATTCTTGCAGAATCAATAATAAATTTATGTTATATAATAAATAATGTCTTATTATAAATGTAAAAAAAATTATAAATATGAATAATTTAAAAAGCAACTTGATAACAAATCGCCTGATAATTAACAAACTATGTTCGCAAAATAGTTCATATAATTATAATTTCATGTTATATCGCTTTATATTACACCGAGAAAAGAGTATAAATCATTAATATTTATCAAACGGAATAAATGAATAACTTTCTTCTTTATCACACTCCATAAACTTTTACATTTCTCTTTCATTATCACACAAATCGACAAATTCCTCAGAATCAGTAAGGTCAGTACTGACGATTGACTGATAAAAGCTGCTTGATGTGGCAGTATCGTTACCAGAACTTAAAAGATTGCCTGAAGTATTTGATAATCTGCACAGAATTTTGAAAATATAAATACTTGAATTAATATCTTAACGTTTTGCTTGTTAATTATATGCACATAATTATTAAGTACAAATAATATATATATATATATATATATATATATATATATATAAATAATATCAAACAATTGATTTCTGTTGATACTTGATGATAAACAGATAAATAACAAACTGTATATTCGCAAAATAGTTAATATAATTATACTTTCATATTATTCCACTTTAAAAGTTACATTAAAAAAGAAGTGTAAATAATTACTCATTAGTTGAAAGCATTGAATGACACACTTTTTCACATAAATTGTAAGAATCAAAATTAGAATACGAAATCTCATCGTAAATTCCAAGTATAGAAAGCTGCTGATTATTACTGCTTTATGTTGCAGTATCGTTATCAGAACTTAAAACATTGCCTGAAGTATTTGATAATCTGCACAGAATTGTGAAAATATAAATACCTGAATTAATATCTTAACGTTTTGCTTGTTAATTCTATGCACATAATTATTAAGTACAAATAATATATATATATATATATATATATATATATATATTATAAATAATATCAAACAATTGATTTCTGTTGATACTTGATGATAAACAGATAAATAACAAACTGTATATTCGCAAAATAGTTAATATAATTATACTTTTATATTATTCTACTTTAAAAGTTACATTAAGAAAGCAGTGTAAATAATTACTCATTTGTTGAAAGCATTGAATGACACTCTTCTTCAAATAAATTGGAAGAATTAAAATTTGGATCATAATTCTCATCGTGAGTTCCAAGTATAGAAGGCTGCTGATTATTACTGCTTGATGTTGCAGTATTGTTACCAGAATTTAAAGTATTTGATAATCTGCACAGAATTGTGAAAATGAAAATACCTGAATTAATATCTTAACGTTTCCCTTGTTAATTATATGCACATAATTATTAAGTACAAATAATATATATATATATATATATATATATATATATATATATTATAAATAATATCAAACAATTGGTTTCTGTTGATACTTGATGATAAACAGATAATTAACAAACTGTATATTTTCAAAATAGTTAATATAATTATACTTTCATATTATTCCATTTTAAAAGTTACATTAAGAAAGCAGTGTAAATAATTACTCATTAGTTGAAGACTTTGAATGACACACTTTTTGATATAAATTGTCAAAACCAAAATTAGAATACAAATTTTCATCGTGAGTTCCAAGTATAGAAGGCTGCTGATTATTACTGCTTGATGTTGCAGTATCGTTATCAGAACTTAAAAGATTGACTAAAGTATTTGATAATCTGCACAGAATTGTGAAAATATAAATACTTGAATTAATATCTTAACGTTGTGCTTGTTAATTATATGCACATAATTGTACAAATTATATATATATATATATATATATATATATATATATATATATGTATATATATATATATGACCCATACAGAGTTACGACCGTTACTCTATAAAAGTAATGCGTTACCGTTATCGTTTATAAAAATTAACGCGTTATCATTACCGTTATTCAAAAAGTAACGATTCGTTACTTTTTCGTTACATTTTCGGTTTTTGTAATGCTAGAGCCTATTACTATTAAAATGTATAATTATATGTAGAAAGCGTTTTTTAATATTAAATAATTATTTGCATTTATTGCATGTAATCTTTATTATTTAGTATATATTAATTTAGTATTAACTCAGAGAGAACTAAAAAATAACGATAAAAGTAACGGCTAATTTGTTAGCCTTATTGTAAAAATGTAACGACGTTACCGTCACCGTTACAGATAGAAAAAAGTAATGACCGTTACCGAAAAAAGTAACGGTAACGGTAACGACGTTACAAGTAACGCGTTACTTCTCAACTCTGGACTCATATATATACGAGTATATATATATATGGGTCATTCCACGTCAAATCGACCACTTTCTTGCCCACAATTGTATTGAAGTAAATTTAACTTCTAAGATATCAAAATTTAGCTTGAAGCATTTAGTTTTTTGTGCCGTATGGCGATTTTGAAAAATGTTAAATAATGACCTTGGTTTTGTCAGTTATATAAAAAATGGTATATATTTTCTTATTCAATTGTTTGTTTATTTCATTAGTTATGATACATATACTATTCTGTTTAAAACTTACAAATGTACGTAAACACAAACAACACAAAATATAGATATACATATAAATAATAAAGAAAAACAAAATTATAATTTAATTATGTTATTTATTAATATTTAATATATTTTTGGTTTTAGGGTCAGTATTATAACAGAACTTTTTTGATATTTTGTAATTCATTCTTTTGTAATACAGTTTATTTTGTAACAAATTATTTTAATAAAATTGCTAAAATTTTTGTGAGTTATTTGATGATGAAACATGACTTTGTTAACCATCACTATGTATACTTTTTCAGGATTTTATTAAAATTTAATTTTGTATTCGATAGAATTAATAAAAATTATCACAAATATTACATGAACTATTGTTTTTTGATAGAATTTTATAATCAGTTATTACCTTCGCTCGACGTGGCTATAATGATATCTGCTTTGTATCGTTGATCGTGCACTACTGGATAAAAAGAATTATTTTAACAAAAACTGTACGAAGAATATAAAATATTATTAACAAAAATAGGTCGCCGGAAAATGTATGATTTGTTACAGGAATGTAAATATTGATACACAGTGTTAATATGTCTAACGTCCTCACTTTTACCATTAAAATTTTTTAAAAATGCTACTTTCTTTATTATGCGACTTTTTCGGACCGATATATTTTTCTCGTCTATATTAATTTTAGGAAATTTTAGGAGGTTTTTTAGGAAGGAAGAGGAACTTATAAATCTCGATTTGAGATAGTTCCTCATCTTGGCAAATTTGCTAAGCATTATATATTGACTCTCACAGCAATAGATCTCTATCTTTGTTATTTACAATAAAAGCGATCTAGCCATATTATTCGTTTCTTTATTATGTTGAATATTTTAATTTTTATCAAAATGACTATTAACATTATATTTCAAAATAAATACAAAAATATATCTGATTAAATTTTTTTATCAATACAATACTTTTAAAATTATTCTTGCAAAATTAATAATAAATTTATGTTATATATAATATAATGTCTTATTATATATGTAAAAAAATTATAAATATGAATAATTTAAAAAAGCAACTTGATAACTAACAAATTGCCTGATAATTAACAAACTATGTTCGCAAAATAGTTTATATAATTATAATTTCATGTTATTTTGTTTTATGTTACATCGAGAAAAGAGTATAAATCATTAATATTTATCAAACGGGATAATTGAATAACTTTCTTCTTTATCACACTCCAAAAACATTTTTACTTCTCTATCACACAAATCGACAAATTTCTCAGAATCAGTAAAATCAGTACTGACAATTGACTGATAAAAGCTGCTTGATGTGGCAGTATCGTTACCAGAACTTAAAAGATTGCCTGAAGTATTTGATGATCTGCACAGAATTGTGAAAATATAAATACTTGAATTAATATCTTAACGTATTGCTTGTTAATTATATGCACATAATTATTAAGTACAAATAATATATATACATATTATAAATAATATCAAGCAATTGGTTTCTGTGTATACTTGATGATAAACAGATAATTAACAAACTGTATATTTGCAAAATAGTTAATATAATTATACTTTCATATTATTCCATTTTAAAAGTTACATTAAGAAAGCAGTGTAAATAATTACTCATTAGTTGAAGACTTTGAATGACACACTTTTTGATATAAATTGTCAGAACCAAAATTAGAATACAAATTTTCATCGTGAGTTCCAAGTATAGAAGGCTGCTGATTATTACTGCTTGATGTTGCAGTATCGTTACCAGAACTTAAAGGATTGTTTAAAGTATTTGATAATCTGCACAGAATTGTGAAAATGAAAATACCTGAATTAATATCTTAACGTTTCGCTTGTTAATTATATGTACATAATTATTAAATATATATATATATATATATATATATGTATATATATATATATATATATATCAATAATATCAAACAATTGGTTTCTGTTGATACTTGATGATAAACAGATAATTAACAAACTGTATATTTTCAAAATAGTTAATATAATTATACTTTCATATTATTCCATTTTAAAAGTTACATTAATAAAGCAGTGTAAATAATTACTCATTAGTTGAAGACTTTGAATGACACACTTTTTGATATAAATTGTCAGAACCAAAATTAGAATACAAATTTTCATCGTGAGTTCCAAGTATAGAAGGCTGCTGATTATTACTGCTTGATGTTGCAGTATCGTTACCAGAACTTAAAGGATTGTTTAAAGTATTTGATAATCTGCACAGAATTGTGAAAATGAAAATACCTGAATTAATATCTTAACGTTTCGCTTGTTAATTATATGTACATAATTATTAAGTAAAAATAATATATATATATATATATATATATATATATATATATATATATATATATATATCAATAATATCAAACAATTGGTTTCTGTTGATACTTGATGATAAACAGATAATTAACAAACTGTATATTTTCAAAATAGTTAATATAATTATACTTTCATATTATTCCATTTTAAAGTTACATTAATAAAGCAGTGTAAATAATTACTCATTAGTTGAAGACTTTGAATGACACACTTTTTGATATAAATTGTCAGAACCAAAATTAGAATACAAATTTTCATCGTGAGTTCCAAGTATAGAAGGCTGCTGATTATTACTGCTTGATGTTGCAGTATCGTTATCAGAACTTAAAAGATTGACTAAAGTATTTGATAATCTGCACAGAATTGTGAAAATATAAATACTTGAATTAATATCTTAACGTTGTGCTTGTTAATTATATGCACATAATTGTACAAATTATATATATATATATATATATATATATATATATGTATATATATATATGACCCATACAGAGTTACGACCGTTACTCTATAAAAGTAATGCGTTACCGTTATCGTTTATAAAAATTAACGCGTTATCATTACCGTTATTCAAAAAGTAACGATTCGTTACTTTTTCGTTACATTTTCGGTTTTTGTAATGCTAGAGCCTATTACTATTAAAATGTATAATTATATGTAGAAAGCGTTTTTTAATATTAAATAATTATTTGCATTTATTGCATGTAATCTTTATTATTTAGTATATATTAATTTAGTATTAACTCAGAGAGAACTAAAAAATAACGATAAAAGTAACGGCTAATTTGTTAGCCTTATTGTAAAAATGTAACGACGTTACCGTCACCGTTACAGATAGAAAAAAGTAATGACCGTTACCGAAAAAAGTAACGGTAACGGTAACGACGTTACAAGTAACGCGTTACTTCTCAACTCTGGACTCATATATATACGAGTATATATATATATGGGTCATTCCACGTCAAATCGACCACTTTCTCGCCCACAATTGTATTGAAGTAAATGTAACTTCTAAGATATCAAAATTTAGCTTGAAGCATTTAGTTTTTTGTGCCGTATGGCGATTTTGAAAAATGTTAAATAATGACCTTGGTTTTGTCAGTTATATAAAAAATGGTTTTTTCTTATTTAAATTTTTACTATTTTCTTACAAATAAAGTTTAAAATTTATTTTTAATGTAATTTAATCCGCTGAATCCGAATCTGAAATTAGGAAAACAAAATATATACTTTTGCAAATATATTATTAGTTGTTATTGATATTTACTTCTAAAAAATAAAATTAATGTTTTTATTTTCAAAAATGCTTTTTTCTTTTTTTCCTACGACATTTCTGTGTTAGAATATTAACTATAATTATCGTATTCTGCACAATTGCACATTTGGCAGTATCAACAATATTTTTAATATTTTATGAAAAAGCTTTCTGCGTTTATACAGGATTAATATTGTCTTTACATTATTTTTCAGCACCAAATTTTACATTTTAAATAATAAAATTTTTTTAAATTTAATTTAAAAAACTTAAAATTAAAAATTTAAATATTTAAAAACTTAAAAAGACTAAAAATTCAAAGAATTTAAAAACTTAAACTTAAAAAATTCATAAAAGAAAAAGTAATGTGGGCTTTCAAAAATAATCTACAGACAACATTAACCCGGTATATACGCAGAAAGCATTTTCATAAAATATTAAAAATATAATTGATACTGCCAAATGTGCAATTGTGCAGAATACGATAATTAGTTAATATTCTAGCACAGAAATGTCGTAGTAAAAAGAGAAAATAGCATTTTTACAAATAACATTAATTTTTTTTTTTTTAAAGTAAATATCAATAACTAATTATTTATTCGCAAAAATAGAAATTTTGTTTTTCTGACTTCAGATTCAGATTCAGCGGATCAAATTGCATTAAAAATGACTTTTGTACTTTATTTGTAAGGAAATAGTAAACATTTGAATGAAAAAATATATACCATTATTTATATAACTGACAGAACCAAGATCATTATTTAACATCTTTCAAAATCGCCACACGGCATAAAAACTAAATGCTTCAAGCTAAATTTTGGTACCTTTAAAGTTAAACTTACTTGAATACAATTATACATACATACATATACATATATATATGTGTTATAAATGATATTAAAAAATTTGTTTCTGTCAATGCTTCTTGATAAACAGATAATTAACAAACTGTTCGCAAAACAGTCAATCCAATTATAATTTCATATTATTCCACTTTATGTTACATCGAGAAATCAGTGTAAATAATTACTCAAATGTATCGGAAGAATTAAAAGTCGGATCATAATCCTTAAAGTAAGTTCTAAGTATGGATGGCTGCTGATGATTATTGCTCGTTGATGTTGGAATATTTTCAACATTTTTACTTGGATAAAAAAGATTTTCTAATCTAAATGGTAAACTGCATAACAAAATTAACAACAAAAATTTTGAATTAATCAATGTTATAAGACTTGCTTGAACCATGTGTACAATGAATAATTATTAATTACAATAAAATTTTTTTCTTATTTAAGCAATTCTCATTGCATTTTTTTCATAATTAAATTAATACGATTTGAATACTTATTAAATATTTTAATTTTTATCTTTTTAAATATTTTCATAAATTTAGTATATACAAATACTATTTAAATACCATATTCCATGTCCGATTATTTAATTTATATACTTATTCATAATTTATACTTAATTAAATTATTAAACATTACCAATTACAAGGAATACAATAGAGAACAACTTTGTGTAATTACATTTTAATATATAATATATATTAGCTACATAAGTTATATTGACTCAAATATTCATATTTCTACGCATTTTAAAAATTAAAATTAATTTTTTATTCATTGTACACATTTCTGTTCTTTTTGTACATAAAAGGACATATAAAAAATAGAAAACATAGCAATAAAATTTTATCGATTATTCTTTTTACCTCTGTGGTATGAATTCTTGATGTACAATGACATCATGAACTTCGTGTAAATGTATCATAAATATAAAGGCATGGTATTTACTAAATTGTTTGCAAATTTCGCATTTCGGAATAGATAATTGGTCAATCACCCAGGTTTGAAGTTTATTTGCTATTTCTTTATTAAGTTTATGCGTATTGTTTATGTGATTCAGCATCTTATCAGTTCTATATGCTGGTTCATAAGTATTATCACAATAATTGCATTTAAATTTGTGATCTATTTTAGAATGTGTCCATTTTGTTTTTGAGTTTTTATAAATTTTTAAATGTTTATTATTCATATGTCTCATTAAATTTCTTTCTAAATAGTGGTTGAATACAAGAAAACAAATATTGCATTTGATAAATTCGCCGTTATATATTGTAAAGTAATGCCATAACCATTCACGAGAACTTGATGTTCTGCATAAAAATAAAAAGTACATATTGCTGAATTAATCAATATTTTAAAGTTTTGTTTGTAATTCATGTGCATAACGTATAATTATTAAATACAAATAATAGATGTCAATTATTTAAAAAAATTTTTTTTTAATTTTGTGTCTATATATCGATGCTTAATATGTAGATAATTAACAAATTGTATGTTCGTAAAACAGTCAATATAATTATAATTTTATATTATTCCATTTTATGTCACATCGAGAAATCAGTGTAAATAATTACTCATTAGTTGAAGGCATTGAATGACAATATCCTTCATATGAATCGGAAGAATTAAAAGTCGGATCATAATCCTTAAAGTAAGTTCTAAGTATAGATGGCTGCTGATGATTATTGCTGGTTGATGTTGGAATGTTTTCAACATTTTTATAAAATTCAAAATGATTATTTAATCCATTTGACAATCTGCATAACAAAATTAACAACAAAAATTATAAATTAATCAATGTTATAAGACGCTTGAATCATGTGTACATTGAATAAACATTAATTATAAGAAAATTTTTTTCTTATTTAAGCAATTCTTATTAAAAATTTTAGTTTATATTCTTTTCAATTTTTTTATAATTAAATTAATACAAATTGAATATCTATTAAATATTTTAATTTTTATTTTTTTAAATATTTTCATAAATTTGGTATATACAAATATTATTTAAATACCATATTCCTTGTCCGATTATTTAATTTATATACTTATTTATAATTTATACTTAATTAAATTATTAAACATTAGCAATTACAAGAAATACAATAGAGCACAAATTTGTGTAATTACATTTTAATATATAATATATATTAGCTACATAAGTTATGTTGACTCAAATATTCATATTCCTACGCATATTAAAAATTAAAATTTGTTTTTTATTCATTGTACACATTTCTGTTCATTTTGTACATAAAAAGACATATAAAAGATAAAAAATATAGCAATATAATTTTATCGATTATTCTTCTTACCTCTGTGGTATGAATTCTTGAGGTACAATGACATCATGAACTTTGTGTAAATGTATCATAAATATAAAGGCATGGTATTTACTAAATTGTTTGCAAATTTCGCATTTCGGAATAGATAATTGGTCAATCACCCAGGTTTGAAATTTATTTGCTATTTCTTTATTAAGTTTATGCCTATTGTTTATGTGATTCAGCATCTTATCAATTCTATATGCTGGTTCATAAGTATTATCACAATAATTGCATTTAAATTTGTGATCTATTTTAGAATGTGTCCATTTTGTTTCTGAGTTATTATAAATTGCTAAATGTTTTGATCTCATATGTTTTCTTAAATATTCTGTTATATCGTGGTTGAATACACTAAAACAAATATCGCATTTGATAAATTCACCGTTATATATTGTAAAGTAATGCCATATCCATTCATCAGACCTTGATGTTCTGCATAAAATAAAAAGTACAAATTGCTGAATTAATCAATATATTTTAATGTCTTGTTCGTAATTCATGTGCATAATGTATAATTATTAAATACAAACAATAAATGTAAATTATTTGATGAAAATTTAAAACATTTTGTGTCTATATCGATGCTTAATATATATGTAGATAATTAACAAGCTATATGTTCTCAAAAAAGTCAAAATAATTTTGTGTTATTTAGTTTTATGTTACACTAAAAAAAGCAGTGTAAATAATTACTTATTGCTAGGAACACAAGGTGGATACGATGAACAACTTTCTTCTTCAGCAATCTCCATTGTCCTCTTATAATTATAATCTACAATAAAATTTTCATGGTAAATTAAAAAATAAGTAAGTTTGAATGTTGAAATAATTATGAATTATTATTATTAATAAAACATCTATATATATATATATATATCTATATAAATTACAACATTTTAATTTAATAAAACATTTTTATTAAACATTTCTCGACATAAATTTAAATTTCAATCTGTTTTTATTATTTTTATAAATTAGACATACAAATAGTATTCAAATACAAATATTTTTGCTTCATTATTTAATTATTAAACTTATTCAATTTAATAAAATTATAAATAGATCTTACAACAATCTAATTAAATTGTTATAGATTACAAGAGTATAAAATGCAACAGATAACATATTTATACAATCGCATTTGAATATAATATTATAGCTAAATAAATAGCCTCAAATATTTATATCTATAATAATAAGTACCATCTGTCTGTATGTCTGTCTAACCGTGAACTACTTTCACATTTATGGACCGATTTTCGTAAAACAGGTATCAAAATGTTGCAAATTTTTCGGGGATGGATGTTATGTGATTTTTTTAAGTTTTACACCCCACTCACGCACCCACCCACGCAATTGCATATTTATGGACCGATTTTTTCAAAATTGGTACTAAAATAGTATATATCTAATATCTGTGATAAAATTACATTTTTTAAGTCTGAATTTTATTTTATTATTTATGATACATATATTATTCTGTTTAAAACTTACAAATGTACGTAAACACAAACAACACAAAATATAGATATACATCAAAATGATTAAGAAAAACAAAATTCTAATTTAATTATGTTATTTATTAATATTTAATGTATTCTTAGTTTTATGGTCAGTTTTATAACAGAACTCTTTTTGATATTTTGTAATTCATTCTTTTGTAATATAGTTTATTTTGTAACAAAATATTTTAATAAAATTGCTAAATTTTTGTGGGTGATTTGATGATGAAACATGACTTTGTTAATCATCACTATGTATACTTTTTCAGGATTTTATTAAAATTTAATTCTGTATTCGATAGAATTAATAAAAATTATCACAAATATTACATGAACTATTGTTTTTTGATATAATTCTATAATCAGTTATTACCTTCGCTCGACGTGGCTATAATGATATCTGCTTTGTATCGTTGATCGTGCACTACTGAATAGAAAGAATTATTTTAACAAAAACTGTACGAAGAATATAAAATATTATTAACAAAAAAGGGAAAGGTCGCCGGAAAATGTATGATTTGTTATAAGAATGTAAATATTGATACACAGTGTAAATATGTCTAACGTCCTCACTTCTATCATTAATTTTTAATTCAATGCCGCTAAATTTTTGGATTAGATAATAATTTAAAAATTTATTTCAAATATTACAATAGATGCAAATATTAAAAACTTACGAAATTCTGAAATATATTTTTACGGGTATTTTTAGCAAAGATTGTTTCCGTTAAAATAACTCAAAGTATTAAGTGTGTGAGCAAATTACAAAAGCGAAAATATTTTTCTCGAGCAAATATGCTTGTTAAATACTTTTTTATAAGATTATTCTTACAGAATCTATTGTAGAAAATTTATGTCTTTCTTTCTCTCTCTTTCTTTTATTAATATATAAAATATTTGATATTCATATAAAATATATATAAAAGATGATAAATATATCCGTTATAAATTGAATTCTATTTTCGGCAATACTTGATAAATAATTAACAGAATATTTGCACCAATATATAATTAATTTTATATAAAACATTTATTAAATGTTACAACAGAAAATGTTTATTTATGAGAAGTTTGTTAATTTTTTGCCTATTTGAGATTATTTAAGTCGTTATAATTATAATTCATGTTAATGAAAATTATGTATGAATTTATATAATTATTTGATATGTATAATTAAATATTTTAATTATATATATCAAATAATTATATAAATTATGTATTAGCAAAAATGTTCTTCATCGTACATAGCATACAATGTTGACAATTCAAACATAAATAATAAATAAATGTAGGAAATTAGAATAAAGAATTTTAGAGTAGTAAAAAAATCAAGAAATTAATTAATATGAGAACAATGGTGGCCACAAACGAGGGACGTATAAAAAAATGACGATAAAGAAGGTGCAAGGCAAAAATTGTAGCCGCGAAGAATCGAGCCGAATCGACAGATACGATATATCTAATGTACATCTAGAAACACACACACACACACATACACAGCGGGGGTGTAACTACTAACCGGACCTGTCTACCAGACAATTCTCGTACACGAACGCAACACTATCCAGAAATTGAAAGTCGATTGAATAGTGTCGCTTCGCGCGCAATGGATACATCCCGATTGTGTTTGTGGATCCTCGGAATACAATGGACTCAATGAAACGCATCATTATTGTCCAATTTCTCTCACCTGTTTCGACCACCTCATCTCTCTCATGTATCTGTATATACGTACGTTTTCATCTTCGACACCCATTTTTCCTCCTCTACATCAACGTGTTTTCTTTCTTTTAGCATCGAGATTTTCTATATTGCAAATCGTGTACTTCTTTGTAAGTACAAAGAAAGAATTATTTCACGAAAAATATATGAAGAATGTAAAAGTTAGTAACAAAAGAAGGGAAGGTCGTGGAAAGACGCAATTATTGTATGAATATAAATATTGATACACAGAAAAATCTAAATCTGCCTAATGCGTCTTAACTTTCACGATCCATTATTAATCCAATGTCGATAATTTCACCTATTAGGAAACGATTTAAAAAATTTATAATCACAAGAATTAGAAAAGATGCAAACATTAGAAACTTTCAAATTTCTGGAGAATATTTTTTTTTTTTTTTTTTTTTTGTAAAGATTACTTCTGTCATAATGATTTCTTCATTTTTAATTATCTATAATTACAATAATCAATTGATAATAATATAATTATTAATGATAATTGGTTAAGTAAAACTGACTCTAATACTTACAATTAGATACTGACTCTAATAGAAAGAAGCAAGTGTCACGCGCAAAAGTACATATGATTCTTTATTTAAATAAAAATATTGACCCGCAGTCTAAATCTGCTTAGCATGTTTTAACTTTAATGATTCGGTTATTTATTTATAGTCGATTAGAGAAAGATTATAGAGAAAGAGTTACACAATTGCAAATATTAAACAATAAGCGCAAATATATTTGTAATAGCAATCTTTCAGAGCAGATTTGATTAACATAAATTCGGTTAAACTAATTAATTTAAATCATCAAGTTAACAAGAAGAAAAATGCGAAATAAATTAGTTGAAAGGTATACATTTTATGCGTATGTGTGTTGGAATGTAAAAATAAAGATATTGTATACTATAATAGTTATCTGATATTATTTTATTTATACAATTTTTAAATTTTTATTATTGCTATTACAACAAATTAACAAATAATAATTATTGAATGACAATTCATAATTATGAAAATAATGATAATTTAATATGACTTACAATATAATAAAAAATTTCAAGTAAAACTGTTTGAAGTTACACATGAAAATGGCAAAAATAAATGATTCGCCATCAGGGATATACATTTGATTCTTTTTCTTTTGTGAAATTATATAAGTGCTATAGTACCATTTTCAGCATTTCTGAATGATCTGCACATAATAAAAAGTAACAATTACAGAAAGGTTTAATCAATAAAATATATTTCTACTTTAATAACGCACATACACTGTTATTATTAAAAAAATACTTTTATTATTTAAAACTCTCAAAAAATTTAAATTCAATATATTCTCAAAAACATTCGATATTTGATATAAATATAAAGATATTTGTTGCATTACCTTCATAGTTATTTATAATTTATAAAAATTACGAATTGTTACAAATTGTCATAAATTACAGACTAAAAGATTAATAAATAAATTGTAGTTTTGACTCGAATACTTATAATACTTATAAAATCCAAATTATAAATATTTAATTTGAGAATTCATTATATTTTTTAGAAACACATACTAAATATTTTAACAGTTTAATACATTTTACACAACTTTACTCAGTACGTATATAAAGACATTTATAATTAATTAAAAAAAGATAAATAATATATATTTACCGCCTTTTCTTTTATTCCGTTGGATTCCTCAATTCTGTATGCCATTGGTTTAAATGTTCAAATGTTCCATCTCCTCTGTTAGATTGTGCACAAGTAGATGCTCTGTGAGATAACGGTTTTGCTGTAAAGTGATTACAGTATTTTCACATATTTTGCACTTCACTGTACCAGTGTTTCCAATTTTATCAAACAATGACTCCCAATCTTTTTGCTCTGAAGTAATATTGCAATATTCTTTGTTGTGGAACGTTAATAAATGAAACTTTGCACTATATTTGTAATCTGTAAGAAAAGTAATGTCTGCATAGCATATATTGCATCTTGCAAGTCCACCAGGCATTTCTCTGAAATATTCCATTTCCCATATCCATGGATCTGACATGCTGTTTGCTACGTATTACAGATAGTGTACGACTAAATACAAAAGATTATTCCAAGTAACAGAAGATACGAATATAGAAAAAACAGGAAAAGGTCGCGGAAATACATAGAAATTACTATTTGTTTAAATGTAAATATCGATATAGTTTAAATCTCCTTAATATCTCTCAATTTCAATCATGTTTTGTTTACCTATTTATCTATATACGTGTTGAAATATAAGTTGAAGAGACGTATTATTATACTTAATCATACTTTTTATTTATGAGTTCACATCATATTTTTTATTACCTTTATTACAATCAATTGATAATAATACCATTATATATGATAATTAATAATCATATTAATAATATTTAACTTAATAATTATTAAAGTTAATTATAAATATTGGCAAAATTGCTTCATTTTACACATCGAAAAACAATAATAAATGATTACTTATCACAGGCGCGTGATGATTTTCTCTTTTCATAAAATGATAATTCATTTTACTGCTGGTATTGTTACTTGATGTGCTGTAACTGTTTTCAATTTCTATTTGAAAACTTCTAAATCAATATTTTAAAATCATATTCAAATTTTATATTAATGATAAAACACATTTATTATTCAAATCTCTTCAAAAATTTAAATATTCGATATTATTAAAAATTTCGCACCCAAATACTATCTAAAAACAAAAATATTTTTTGCATTATTTAGTTCCTTGCATTTATTTATAATTTATCAACATTGCAAATTACTAGAAATTGTCACGAATTATCTTAAATTACCGACTACAAGATTAATAAATAGATGGGAAATTTAAATTTAGTATTAGTTAAGGAATTATATTGTCATATATAGTATTAGCTAAGTAAAGCTGACTCTAATACTTATAATATTAGAGTTCAAATTATATATATATCAGACTTGAATATTTATAATATTTATGATATACGTACTTATGCTAAATATTTGAATAGTTTAATATACCATACACAATTCGATTCATTATATGTAAATGTATATATGCAAGTAATTAAAAAGAATATAATCTATAATAATTATTGCTTTTTATTATTTCGTTAATCTGAAATCTTAAGATTCATTAGTTTCGTGAAATTGGCTAAAACGTTAAAAAAAGTCGGAAGAATTACAGTTTTGAAGAACTTTACATAGCGAGCATTTTTGTGTCTGAGACGGAGGTAATGTCTGAGAATATTAAACATCAAGTTGTTTTCTATCTTTTCCCCAAATTTATTAATATTGTGTTCATCAATTAAGTGTTCTCTCACCAGATGAAATAATTATTGTTATGCTATAAATTCTTTGATAAATTCTACATTTCATACGATTTCTAATTCAGTCAAATTGTGACAGCCAATCTTGTCATGAATCTCCTGATGAAAGAAAATTTCGATCCTGATGTTTCATTTTCAGATGTTTCTCTATACATATAATATTCTTTACCAAATGTAAAAAAATTATATATATAAATAATTGAAGAAAGCTGCCAGATAAGTATACAAGAGTGTCCGTCCATAAATGTCCGCAAATATCTTGCAACTGAAGTTACAAGAAAGTTTAATAAGTAAAATTTGCACGGCACTGAGTCGAGTTTTCGGGTTATAAAGGTGAATATACTTTTTTTAAATGCATATCTATATTTTTGGCATACTTACATAATAGAGATCATTTGTAATCAAAATCGTACAAAAATTGCTACTATATGTATCATTTATAAAATAATCGACATCTTTGGTATATAAAACAGTAAACTGGATTTTAAACATTTCTGAATTTTAATGTTATTCACATATATAAAATTTTGCAAAAAGCAATGTATGCGTATATAAGAAATATAGTAGCTTTTTGATGCGTAAGCCTTTCAATAGGATTGCGTTCTCTTTTTTATACGCGCGAAGAAACATCCAATACAATACCTCGTTTCTCTATCGGGCTCATATAATCCGCCGTGCGCGCCCGGTCAAAAGCATTAATTTTCTGCCTTACTTCGGTATCATCGCAATGAAAGCTATTATACCATCCCGTTAATATCGATACGCGCGTCGTTGCGGGGCCGCGTTACGCAATGTAAAAGAGCAAAATCGGACAGGGGATGCATACATACGTGTGCCGGGTTGATTCTTTTCACCGCATCGCGAAACTTGATCAGAATGATTAATAGCGCGAGCGGGGTTAAATCATTAAGTGGCTTATATATGGGTATGAGGACCGCGGGAAATGGCTGACGAGAAAGAAAGAGATGAACGAAAGGAAGTGGAGGAAAGATAAAAAGAAACGAACCGCACAGAGACAGAAGGGAGCGAAGCGGAATGAGGGATAAGGACCTAGACGCGCGGAGATACTTTCGACGAGGAATCCTACTGTGGCGGACAAAGAGAAAGAGCGAAAGAGGGTGGTTAGAGAAAGAGGGATGGAGCATGGCTATTGAATGCCGCTGCTGTATATAGCCGGGCCTCTCCATAGCTAGGTACCGCACAGAAAGAGAGAGAGAGAGAGAGAGCAATTCCCTTTAGTTTATTTTTCCATGGATAATGAACCCTCGCGCATCTCCCTCGCTCACGATGTGTTGCATCGAGGCCGGCCGATAGACCCGGTCGCTATTTCGCGTTTCCGTGGTGCTTCACGTTCGACCGCGTCTCCCTGCTTTCACCCTCGCTTCTTGCTCATTTTATAAGCCAACGCGCTTCAATGCTCCGCGAACGCATCGCGATGTCTGAACGCGCACGAGTGACTATATATATGCTCGAAGGAGCTGAACGATAAATTATACACATCGATAATCGCCGGTTCTCCATTTCTTAATCTCGCTTTTGTCCTTTAGTCGAGACGAAGGAAATAATAATATCCTGAAAAAATATAACTAAAATTAGTATTTTAACAAAAATGATTATCACGATAGAACGTGTATAAAAAAAAATCTCTAATTTTTTCAGATTTTCTAATTTTGAGTCCTGAGTCTTCCTGTTGGCATGTAATTTTATTAATAATTTTATTAATACCACAGTTCTGCAGCTGCTTCTGTCATCAATTTTTGTTGTAAATAGTTTGAAATTTTAGTGAAAAAAGTTGAAACTATTTGAAAATACCGAAAATATAGTATAAAATAATATAAAATAGTTAAATAATATAAATAGCGGAATAGCCCATATAATATTTATGACTATCTTTTATGAAAAATTAAATAATTTTGTTCACTACTTTTGCAACTGACTCCATCTAGAACTGAAGTAAATTAAGTATTTTTTCAAATTATAAAAATATAATATAAATAATATTTAAATAACATATAAATAAATAAATAAATGAACTGATATAAGAATATAACATAACACGTGTAAACAGGGAGACTCAAGGCTGAAAATAAAAATCTGAAAAAATTAGAGAATTATTTTTTCTACATTTGGAGCTGATTTATGATCATCCAACATGATGTTCAATTTAACGACCACCCTAATATATATATATATATATATATATATATATATATATGTGTGAATTGGGTTTTTGAGACTTGATATTGCGAATCCTATCGAGACAAAAAATCATTTCTGAAGACTGTTCAGGGACAAAAATAGTTTCTCCTTCATAAGGCAATGTCTCGCGCATTTACACGACGTCACGGCCGGTACTTTTTCCCCTGACTAAGCGCATCCTGCGAAAGGAGTCTGACGGCGAATTCCTCGGGGTATTCTTCGGGAACCGCGCCGAGAAACTCGGCTTTATCGCGCGCAACCAACGTCACCGGATTAAGCCACGTTGCGGCGGGTAAGCGATGGTGCCTCGGGCCATCGCGTAATCTACAATTTTATACGCCGTATTCCACGTGGCGGAGGGAAAGAGAAAGAGAAAAGTAGAAAAGAAAGTATAGAGATTCGGGCAGCGTAATTGCTTCGCGAATATGGGCCAATAACAATGCGCTCGCGTTAAAAACTGGCGTGCACGAGGACTCTAAACAGTTTCATTTCCAGTCCGAATTCTCGGCTTACGAGCCGCAAAAATGTTGGTATGTATATTTAATACGCGCCGCGATGCAAAATTATATAATATGCGCAATTCGGTTTTTATTCTTTCCGAAACTATCTGCGAGATAAGAATATGCGAGACTCTCTATTATTTTATTTATCTCGCGAACGGTATTCTCGCGGTTAGCTGACAGAGGAGCAACTATTGGATCGTTATTCTAAATTAGGGAAAAACGCGAGAAAATTAAACATATAAAACGATGCAAAAAAGTAAAACTTTTTTTTCTTAAAAAACAATTATTAAAATTATAGTGACGGAAAAAAAGAAGAAAAAATGTAAAAAATACAGAACACTTGTTTCGAGAAATAATGGGAAACGCATCGTGGGATATTGCCGCGCTCCGTTATGCGATAAGTGTGATTGACAAAGTCGAAACGGAGTCTTTCGAAATGAGTATACATTCGCTATTCGAGCTCTGCATTATCGATAAACACAGTCGACACAGAGAGAATGCGCTAAATTGTCGGGGATAGTCGGTGTTAGTCGGACTCTCGGCTGTGCAACGGTGTGTCTACATAAATGCAGCGTGCATGCCCGACAGGCAAACAAAAGGGTACAGGAGGAGGATATAGAGGTTGAAACGCGGCAGAGAAACCGAGGGGGACCAGAATACCTTGGTCGTCCGTATAATCTGCGGATCTGACCGCGCGTATTCCAGGCCCACGAATCCCGTGGGTGGTAACCGCCCCGGGCACCAGATTTACAGGTGTAACCTGCAATAACGGCGCGATCTATCGAATCCGAGAACTTGGGGTCGCACTCAGTCTTCGAGTACCGAGAGCGGGCATATTTTCGCGAAGCAGAGAATCGCATCTCTTGACTCTCACGGAGTTTGATAGAAAGATCAACTCCGTTATATCGAATACAAGTAACGGCGAAAAGAAAATTGCGACCGCGACTCGCGCCTCTAGGAACAATTCTGCGTTCTATTATAATGGATGGATTCGTGCGGCGGAATATGCGCGGAATTTTTTCTTCCTCTTCTTCCTCTGCATAAATTTGCCTGCCAGCTTGCGTGCATTATCTCAAAGTCACGAGCGACAACATGCACGATATCGTTCAAATTTGACAAGGTGGTATGAGTGTATATATATAATATAATTTACAAATATTGTAATAGTTTTAATGTTAAAAATAAATTCATAAATATATTTGACGGATGAGACTTATGCTTTGACTTATACTAAAATCATCGAGTAGTGAAAACTCTTCGAAAAAGATTGATAATTTTGTATTTACGCGCTCTACATTTTTGAATAAAATTTATTTATATTTTTACGTTACATAATTTGTTGGTAAGCTGCATCTGTTTTACTTTTTCATCAACGCTCGTAATTTACATGCTGACTCAGTACAATACAAAATGTTTCAAATACGTTTCTAAACTTGCGAAACGTTTATCATGCATTTATTCTTGCTGAAACCGCACAACGCGCTGTAAAACTGGACACGTAATTAACAGGAATAATTGGCAATCGCGAACGAGCGTGCGTTAACGCAACCGAAAGAGCTCGATTCGCACAACTTTTGACATTAATTCTAACGAAGCGGAAACCCCTCGGAATTTCTGATGTTTAAACGGAACATCGTAATTACTCGCGTGACGCGAAACCAGAGGAATCCAGGATTGACACGTGAAAATTTCTCTCTCGTGAGATAGTCTCGATGATTTGTTACGTGATTTCATAATACGGCCATGCGCTGTCATGCAAGATCGAAGATGTATCGATCGATATATATCATTCAGTCACGTCCAGGCATTTCGGAAAAGCCACAGGATGCGATGGGTAGGAAAGTTTATAATTAATTGACTTCAACTTGTAATTATTGCACGGCGCATGTAACAACTATTATCTATCACGCGTAATTTAGGGGAAATTTCTTTGCACGCGAAATATTAGATTATTTATCTCTTTGTAACATTTAAAATATAATTAACGTCAGTATTTAGCCAAGAACCAAGAATTTCAACGATATTATTATTCTTTTTTTAAAAAAAAGGAGATGATTTACTGACGTTTTTGTTTTTTACCATAATGTTCGTCCACTTTTCATTGCATTCTGCGCGCTTTGCGGAGAAATATTTCTGAAAAGAATTTTCTTGTGCAAAATTGATAACGATATATGTATATGCGCAAATATCCCTCGCGACATCATTAAATATCACTGAAATTATACGGGGCGAAAAGAAGGTGTCTGATTACAAAGGAAGAAGAGACGACTCCGCTTCATCACGAGATATCGGAAGAGATACTTTGCGCCAAAGGGTCATCGTGGATGCACCTCGATTGCACACACAACGACGTTGTAACCCAGTTTCAACGGGCCACCAATTACAAGCGCAGAGACACAAGAGCGGCTCGGTTCGAAGGCAAAGCAGGCTGAAAAGAACGCGACGTTGACCCATTTCGCATTGATTTCGTTGAAAAGTTTGCAGTCTTTTTTTTTAAATAAAAGAGAATACCTTCTCGCTTTAGCTGTGCAATTACAACCGACCGAGGAGGATCAAGCGGGCGACGGGCTTGAAAGACATTTTGTTAACGACATCGACTTGTTTGTTGCATTGAGAAAAACGTCGCTCATATTTTTATTTTCCCTCTTTTCCCAACCAGCAGTATTATCATTACGCTGTTACGCGCGGGCGCGTGGAGGAATTTGAATAACTACCGCCAACAACTCGGCGCGCTTTTCATAATTCCATGGCTAATGAGCTCCTTTTGTCGGGCGTACAAGTGTACGGTGCACTCGACAAAAGTTTTTAATTTGACCAGCAGATTCTTGCCAATGTAAAATTAACAAGTACAATAAAAGCATATTGAACTATTTCACAAGCCATTTGAAAATAGGCGCACAAAAAGACTGGGAATATTAATTAGTTTTGTATATTTATGAGAGCACGAACAACAATAAAAAGAGAAATGGTAAAAAAGTAAATAAAAGAAGGAAAACAAGGAAATCCTCTGACAAATATGACGATTTAATATTTCCTCTTTATATAAAAATTAAGTATTAGAAATCTTATATATAGATCTTATACGTATATTCTATATATAAATTAGACATATGTATAATGTACATATAGTATATTATTCTTTATATAATTTTAATATAGGTATACGATATATATTTAATATAATAATCTAATGCAATTCTTACTACATTTACAGCTATTTACTTTTTTACATACATCTATAAATAACTGATAAAGATCTTATACATATATTCTATATATAAATTAGACATATGTATAATGTACATATAGTATATTATTCTTTATATATTTTAATATAAGTATACGATATATATTTAATATGATAATAATGCAACTCTTACTACATTTACAGCTATTTTTTTTACATACATCTATAAATAACTGATAAAGATCTTATACATATATCTATATATAAATAGACATATGTATACATATAGTATATTATTCTTTATATAATTTTAATATAGGTATACGATATATGGTATATTTAATATAATAATCTAATGCAACTCTTACTACATTTACAGCTATTTACTTTTTACATACATCTATAAATAACTGATAAAAATGCAAAAATAATATCGAGTATCTTTTCTCCCACAGCGCGTGATAAACACATTTCCATGGGGGCTCGCGCAACATATGCCTGGCGAGCGCGACGGACCCGTCTTAACCCACCACTCTCGTAATCGTCGCTGAACGTCGGAATAGCTCCTTCTGTCGGGATTGCCGACACCTGCGAACCACCTGGTCATCGATAGCTCTCGCACGCGGAACAAGAGCGGACAAAGGGAAAGGGACTTGCGCGGGCCACACCGCTCGCGGACGGTGCATTCGCGGCGATGCATTCAAGTGCCCTGAGAGGACTCCTCGGGTACAGATACGAAACACGGGTAGCGTGCCCCGCGGCGATGGGATCTCTCGGGACGAAATCTGTGCCTCGCGCGATGGGAGAAACGCGGAGCAGGTGCGCACACTTGAGAAATCACTGCATCTCTTCCTTTCCTCTTGACCCCCATGTCCACCCTCTTCTCTTGTACATCGCGAAAAAAAAATTCGAAAGGCGTAAATTTCACCTGGAACTGATCGGAGATTCGCGAGAACCTGCTTGGATTCTTCTACCACTGATGTAAGAGATCCAGATTTTCGCTACTCGCGTAATTTCGTCTAATTATATGTCTGCAGGATTTAATCGTGACCGAAGGTACGTAAAATGTGGCGCGTGATTTCGCAAGTGAAATCCTGGTTTCTCTTTGGAATCATTTTGGGGCATATATTTTCTGAGATTTTTGTGAAAGTATATTTAATATTGCTAATTTTTTTATTATCTTTAACGTAATGCTTTTGTTTGAATGTAATGTGTAATTTGTCACAAATGCGTAATTTTATTACAGATTGTCTCTTTATAATTTGTTTTTAATTTCGCGGGATTGTCGTGAATCTCTCAATTGCGCTTAATCGAACGCCATTTGCAATACGATTACCATTATTATTAATTACAGTTGTTAAATTCAACATGACACTCCATTTAGATGAAACTCAACGAAACGCACAAATGTCACGTTGTGGCACGCGCTCGAAATTAAAATTTGCGATTTAGTGTAATATTGTTTAGCTGCAGAGAGAAAAAGAGTGAATTTATATATTCTTTTTTTTATAAATAAAACGCGCAATTTTTTTTATTGCCCAGATGTGGTTGTCGTGCGTGCAAGTCCAACAGATGTCTGCACGCGCGTGAAGCTCTACGATATTATTTTTATACTGTATATATGTGCACAAAAACACACAACACACGTATGTATATTCATAAATATCTCTGTTCCTACGGCAGCGCAAAATATTTTCCTTCCTTGCTCCATTGTCTCTCATGTTACTTCATCTGCATAGATCCTCATTCCTCTCTATATAATCCCGTTTTTACAAAAACAACTCTTAAGCTCAGTCGGATGGCAAATTTTTATCGGACAATTCATGTTTTAATCATTCCAAATACGGTGAACGAAGAATAATGCGCGTCTATGTACACATATACAGGGTCTCCATAAAGTCTGTACCTACCCCTATATTTTGTAAGTGGCACAAAATTACGAAAAACCGCGAAATACGTGTTCTATTATTCCGAAGGTTTACTCTTTTAAAAGAATTGCCGAGATTATTTTAGAGAATAGTTAATATTTTTAAAATATCTAAAAGTTTTTTATTCTTTAGACTTTAATTTTTTAGATATATAAGAAGAAGATTTTATTTTTTAAGCAAGATTAAATATTTAGTTATACATTTGGCATACGTTCTTTTGGCGTTACATATTAGGCATATTTTTTACAATGATTTTACTACTTTTCTATAGACTGCTTTTATGTATAAATGTTTCTGTAAATTCAAAATTAAGATCATCGAATAACAAAATATTAGGCAATTATTTCGATATTTATATTTCAACAGACTAATAAATATCTTCCATAAACACACACGTACAAACATACATATATACATATCGACCTTTTCTTCTCTTACCAGAGGTTTAATTTCTATGAAAATATTTTTATAAAATAATTATTCTCTTTAGTAACACACAATCTGCCATACGAAGCGAACATCATGTCCGTGCAAAGACCTAAGTGGGTATGGAATTTTGACTCATCAAATAATGGTAAAGCATGTACTATTGGTAATGAAAGTTTTCAAGGTTTGAGATTTACGAAACCTATGAAATATCACATAATTAGAGCGCATAAAGAAGAGTATAAAAATACTGCGAAAAAACACAACTGGGTACGGCACTTTTATAAAACTGATGATAAAAGTGACAATGAGTTAAGCTGCAAACTTTGTAATAAACGTTATACAATACCAACAATTAACACTACCAAAATAATGAAACGTTTAACCGATCAACATGAAGACGATAAAAAAGAAGTGAAAGGTTCTGAAGATCTTTGGAATTTTATTATAAAAGCTTTATGTGCATTTCAAAGATTTAACGGAAAAAAAAGACAATGCAAACTTTGTGGATACATTTTTCCAAAAAAAAGCAATTCTTTCATATTTATCGAACATTTAGAAAAATATCATTATAATGATTATGAAACTATATTAAGGCAACAGAAATGTCGGTAAGTGTTTTATGGATATTACAATATTATTTTATCTCTTTTTTTTTAATCGCTCTTGCGTGTAGTTGTATGTATAATAAACACACAAAATTTAGATATTTAACATTTGCTTATCATAAATATCACAAATATTCAAATTAAAAATACATAATAAATTCTTGTTTTGTGTTATAAAAATTTGAGTCAGTTTTAGTCAGTGAAAATTTATATGGGTCTATTTAAAAAATTTTTGAATCTGTATAATATTTGTATCTGCATACTTTATTTCTCAAATGAAAATGATTTTAATAATAATATTAAATAATAGATAATTTTTATCTGACAATAAAATAACGTGTATGATTGAAAAACTTTATAAAACTGATTACTCTTCTATTAATTTTATTTCAATTATTACTTTACTCATGCTATTCTATGTATATCCATATATACAGGTTATCAAATGGTTTAATTTCAAAATTCGAATTCGACAGTATTGATATGGATTTCAAAAGAGATGTTGAGGACAATGCTACATCAGGTCCGTCACCAGCAATATAATACAAATTTTGACAATAATTTGATTTTTACTAATCAAAATATCAATGTTCTTATAAATATATAACTAGCAAACTTTGTACTAACCCAACGTCTCTAAACATTGAAAGTATTTATATTCTTTGTATTTATCGTGTATTTTGTCTACGTAATTTATATGTATAGTACACATATCTGTTCAGTTTAGTATACGTACATACATATATCATATATTTTATAAGAATAAGCTTCTAAATAAACATACGATGCATTAGCAGTAATAAAAGTAATATGGTAATGACATGCATCAATAAAATAACGATCTTCGATAAATGTAGTGATATGTTTATTCAATTTATAATAAATTCCTGATCAACCTCATTACAATATTTATTTAATTTATTTCACATATTTCCTTTTTCCCTATCGACTTGATCATTTATATTAATCAATTTGACAAAATCAATTGTTTCGAACTAAAAGATATTCTATAAAATATTATCTAACAATTTTTAATATTAAAGTGTTTATTGCAACTGTTAAGTGATTGTTTGTATATATTTCAGGAAACAACATAAATGATTTATTTTAAGAAAATAATTGAAATTAGTAACAAACGTATTGCGTCAATCAAAAACTACTTCAATATCTGTTTTTTTTTTTTTTTATAAAATAATAAAACGTGTACACCAAATACATAAATAAATATTAAAGTCAAAATGGTTAGCTATTAAAAAGACGTACGTGATCATACACAAGGTTGCGCGATGAACCGGTTCCAGGCGCACGATCCGGACCACTCGTTACGAAATTGCTGGTCAACCACGCTCGGTCCAGCAACGATATGCACAATGCACTGGACCTGGTCGATTGGGACGAAAAAAAATGACAAACTGACATTCTGAATTTCGCACTTCGTCCGCTGGAACGACATATGGGACGCGCGTCAAAGCGCACAATTATTCGCCTCTGCCGAATAAAGATCGGTCGGTCCAACTCTCAAATTTCTTTTTCAAATCGGTCAATAAACTCTAGAGAAAAAAATTGTCTTCTTTCGAGAATAACACGCGACGGTCACGAGTCAAAGTTTCGTCAAAAAATGCCAGGTGTATTTAATCGTTGGGCCGGAAGAGTATTTTTAAAACAAAAATTGTATCAATCTATCCTTTTTTAATTCGCAAACACGAGTTTCGCATTTGCACCGACAAGTAAGTAAAATAAAATAAAATTTTTTAAATAATTATCCGACTGATGAACTCACGGCAAATATCAGTTTTCAAGGAAAATCGATCGAAAATTCGATGTAAAGACAAAATTGTAATACCGGCATTAATTTATTAAAATATCGCAATATATTAAAAGGAAAAGATCATGAAATTAATAAATTAAAATTATAATTAATTTAAAGGATTTTCATCAGAATTTTGATTAAGAGATTAATTAAGGGATTAATTAAAAGCACTTGAAGAGAGAGATCATATATTTCGCTAAGATATTATTAATAACATATGATTCCGATATAGTATTTTAATAATCATTCTTTTTATAATTATTTAAATAATTATTGCTTTACTATTGTTAATATATAACAGATATTTGACTGTTTGGATGCTTACGAAAAAAAGAAATGCAATTCACATTTTCTGCTCTTCGATGTGCGGACTTGATGCGTAATACAATCATACATTTTCGATATGTTATGCCAAGTGGCAATAATTGAGTTGGTTGGGACACGAGCGAAAGCGTTAACGAAGATATTATGCAACCGATCGTCGCTAATCGACAAATGGTCCGAGACCCCAGATGTTACTACACGTGCGTGACCGCCTTTGATTTCGATATTCGTGCGGTAACAGATTTGCAGTTCTTTCCACGTCATGTGAACCGACATGACATGGTGGTGGCTTATTGTTCCTGGCCCCACAAATTCGGCCAGTTGTTCTCTCGCGAATGCATCGCATTTAAATTGTCATTAAAGTACGACAATACATTTCTTTCAACTTATTCTTTCGAACGAAATCTCACACATTACAGATACATACGTTTCTCTATATTTCGATGTATATATCCATTTGCATTTATTAGTCAAAGTAACAGCTTACTAAATACATGAAAACATCAGCATATAAAATTGAAATCAAATACTGAAATTAAATACAGAAAGAGATTTTATATTTCCTCAATGTTTTATGAATGCCTTTGCAATATATCAGCATGCGAAATGACGGATCATAAAATATAGGTCGGTCAAAGGTTATAAAATATATTTTATTACAAATTACGGTGGATTAGCGCTCGTAATATATGAAAGCGTGAATGTAAAACAGGTAAATCATATACATCAAATGCCATTATCAAATGAAAAAAAAAAAAATGTAAATAAATGTGATGCGAGATACACATCGAAGAGCAGACTATTACCATGGAAAACTGCGAAATGTGCCGTGACGCAATGCAGTATCGAAAATTGCGGCACGTCTCCTCCCCTTCTTTTCCTCTCCCCTTTCCCCTCCTCCTCTCTTTTTAATTTTTGGCGTTATAGGTAATTATAAGGCTAATGATATACATACGCAGTAACGATATTGGTAGATTGCAGTTGGTACAACGAATTATTAGAGCGATAATCAGTATCGCGAAGCCGAGAGAAGCCGATATCCCATATCCACAATTTGTAATTAAGAATTTTATTAGCGAAGATATTATGCGGCTAATCGTCGGTAATTGGTAAATGGCCCGAAAGCCATGTGCAGTAACCATCTCCCCCGATCGATTTTACTACCCGTTCAACCCAGGGGTCGTGTGTGCGTTCCCGCCGCGAAATTTATTTGCATTTTTACATTGTTAATCCGACGGTGATATATATTTTTGCGAGAGACACTAGATTCACACACCGCGCTCGCGATTGCAAAATCTTTTCGAACGATAAATAAGCGCGAATTATTTCCAATTTTCGAGACCGAGAACCATCTTCCATATATATATATATATATAATAATTATCGTGTTAACCCACATAAGTTCAAACAGCCGCTAATTTGCATAAATTATTATTACTCCTTTTTTTTTGCTCGCGATAAATTCTGCGATAATCAGAGATATCGATTACCGTATAAATATATAATCGCGCTTACGTGACTCATCAATTTCGAATTAACGAGTCACGGAAATACGGAGCTCGAATTATCGCATATATCTCGTGAAACTGGCGTCCCGCCGCTCGATGACTATTAAAATTTCATAATAACGAGAAGGGACGTATTGCGCGAGAGCAATTTATTCAAATCCCGGACAAAGACGAAACCTGATGGGCAACATTGTGCCTCGGTGTAGCGATACGATGGGTGTAGGGTGCGAGCTAAACAAAAGTCATTAGGGGTAGGAAATCACTGTGCGTAACCAGTCTCCCAATACCCCGAGATTGGAGCCAATCTCTCCCTCTTCCATTCCGGAAACATCGCGCGTGTATTTGCCATAAAGATATACACCAACGAAAACACGCGTGTGTCACTTGCCGAACAAATTGAGACGTACAAAGACCGCGTCTCTTGATTGTTACAGCTCTCCTCGATGTCCCCGAGGGAAGATGCGAAAAAGGAAAATGGGGGACGCGTCATGATAAACTCTAAATCTAATTATGGTGTCGCGAGACACAACAGCACGACGCTCTATCTCGTAATTTTATCGTTGATAAGCTTTTAAAACGATCATTAATATCGCAGTTGATTCCGCTCCTTCTCTCTCGCAGTTTCCTTACATTCCAACCGTGAAATTGGCCGACGGGAAAAAAAGAGGCCACCCACACACTTCGTTGGCTTCCCATCCTTTCGTCCCCTTTTGCGAGAAGGACCGAATGCGCGCGCGATTCCACCGTCGTTGCACCATGCATATGGATCGCCGGTGCATTCACCGTGTACACACGTCGTGGATAAATATGTATGAGAACGAGAGAGCGCATCGAGATTATCCTACTACTACCTCGTTTTCTTCTACGGATACGAGAGAACGTCGACGCTCGCGCGATTTTCCCTTCGTTTGCCGCTTCTCATGCTAAACTCTACGCATTTCAATGCTCCGCATATATTGTTCAAATAATACCAATAATACGTATTACTTGCTGTCTCTCACGTGCATTAATGCTTCCCTATATGGTATTAACGAATTTCTATATTTTAGAAAAAAGAACAGCGAGAGAGAACAAAGATCGGCGGAATTATATAGGTATTGTGTAACAAATGCATAAATAATATCATTATATTGAATAACACCATTTCATTAGCGGTACATTCTAAAGATAAAACTCTTTCAGGCTATTTTTTTTTTTTTTTTAATCGAAATCGAAAGAAATGATAATTATAGAATACTACTTCATTGAGATATATTTACACGGATTATAATTATTTTTCTAACAATTTATATGTACATTTTTTATAGATTCGAGTATATCTCATATTGGGTGAAATATTTGTTGCGAGTAATATTTTAATACACTTTTATAAGCCGGTTTTAAGATACGGATCATGAATAAATATGAGTGGACAGGACCGGGTTAAAATAAATGGGCTAGAATATTATAGCTTGGGTTTATGTGATCGTTTGTCTTTCACGATTTGAATGACATGTAAAGTGTAAAATCTTTACACTCTGCTAGCGATAATAATCAGCCAGCAATAGAAAAAGAGTTCTCTTCTTTTTCGAATTCCGACTCGAAAAATTTAACCAGAATGAATGTGGCTAGGAACTAGAAAAATAGATTTAATACTGACCAGAAGAATGGACATGAATGACATAAATTTACAATTTTGTATATTTGAATGCATTGTCGAATACATGCATAATTCTTTAATTTTTATATCATGATATTATTTGCAAATGTTATTTATTATTGCGTATCCATCATTTGTTTTTAATATTCGTATCCATTCTGAAAAACGATATATCATTTATATTTCTATTTGAGCTTCGTTTTTCATTTGGAGATATTAAATTTGAATTATTTTTCTCTCTCAGTCTATTTATATTAATCTATTCATTTTAGCCACAGATTATTTATTTATTTACATTTATATGAAAAGAAACTATAAGTTATATAAATGCATTTGCAAAATATATATATATATATATATATATATATATAAATCAGATGTTTAATTTTTTTACAACGCGATAACTTTATTATAATATGGTAGTAATTTAATCGACCAAACTCTGGCAAAATAAGTGATCTTTATTCAATATTCACAACGTTTCGGCCATGGGTTTCGGCCCTTATCAAGTGCTATAATATATAATAATGACAATTATTAAAAATTAAAAAGTAACAATGTAACTATAATAAAACGATAAATATTTCCACACATTAAAAAAAAAAAAGTTGTGTTTTAG